AAGTCCGGTCACCTGTGCCTCTACTGCGGCAAGCTGTACTCGCGCAAGTACGGGCTCAAGATCCACATGCGGACGCACACGGGCTACAAGCCGCTCAAGTGCAAAGTGTGCCTGCGCCCCTTCGGCGACCCCAGCAACCTCAACAAGCACATCCGGCTGCACGCGGAGGGCAACACGCCCTACCGCTGCGAGTTCTGCGGCAAAGTCCTGGTGCGCCGCCGGGACCTGGAGCGCCACGTCAAGTCCCGCCACCCCGGCCAGAGCCTGCTCCCCAAGGAGGGCGACGGCCCGGGCGCAGAGCCGGACTACCCCCCGGAGCCCAGACAGCCCAAGAGCGACGACGACGACGACAGCGACGTGGACGTCTGCTTCACGGACGACCAGAGCGACCCGGAAGCCGGGGGCGGCGGTGAGCGGGACTAGAGAGGAACTGGCCGGGGAAGGGTTGCAGGGTGTGCCCGGAGCGGGGCGGAGGTTCCTCGTCCCGGGCCGCCAATGTCGAGGACAAGCTCGGAGGCAGCTTTAGAAATCCCGGCCGCGGTGCAGCCCTAAGACGGAGCTCTCGGCGTCCCCAGGGCCCCGGCGCTGCGCACAAAGCTACCCTCCGAACGGCGCCGGTGCCGGGGGCCTAGGAGCTCGTTCCTGGGAACGCCGCAGCACCCTCGAGACCGCTCCGTTTTAACCGCCACGTATTTAATTTTTTTTCCCGGTGGAGGAAATTGTGCCTTCGAAACGATGTTGCTGTTCTTGTGTGTGTTTGACATTGGCAAAACGAGCTAGTTACACTGTGGTAGACGTGGCACCCGTACACTGGTTTCCATTTCAACTGTCCTCGTGTCAAAGACTGCGCCTCCAGACTCATTGACTGCATAGTGGTAGCAGGTGTACAAATTGGTCAAGTTGCAATTATTTATAAGAGAATAATGACAAATGTAAAAACATCTAAAGCATGAATCTAAGAGCACGCAATATATAATTTTAAAGAAAATGTCCTGTTTGGTGGAGTGCAAATGTGGTGCGTGTGATTTTACCATGAATGATGTACAGTGGACATAGTATTTTGGTCTTGCTTTCAGTTTGTGCAATCTTTAAGAAAAATAAAGATACTTACAAACGAGAGTTTGTTCACTGAGCAGCTTCAGCGGGCTCTTTAAAAACGATTTCAATTAGAAAACAACTTCAGGGACCCTGTCCACAAAAATACATCACAGGACATGTGAATTTAATAAACACTTGGACTAGTCATGAAATAAACGTAACAGGAAATGTACGGTTTTCCATATGTGCATTTCACAGGCTCCCGGTTAGAGGCAAAGCAATTGTTTTCTAAACTATTGTTAATCATGCAAAGTGTTTTCTTGTTTGCAGAAAGATGTTAACGACCTTCCAGGAAAAAAAAATGTCAAGTGCTTCCTGCTCAAAGGAATTATGAACTGTAGAATCCGTATTTCTAATCATGTTCCATTCTGACAGAACTTTTTTTGGGGAAGCCAAAAGGAAACAAGCTCAGTACTTTTTGTGATTTCATACACTTGAATATTCATCCAACATATACTGATGGAGGATCTATTTTAGTATAAACTTCATTTCTCACCCCCCCACCCCACCTTACCCCTTCCCATCCTTCCCATAAACTCTTGCTTCTATCCCACGTTATACAAAATCATGCTCTGTAAGAATGCTGGGAGGTCCAGAATTAAAATGACAACGTTAGAAACAGTGACATTATTCATTGGTTTAAAAAAGATAATTCAAAGGGCGGTGAAACAGAGCCCAGTGGCACTATGGACTTGATGTTGGGCTGCTAGCCACAAGGCTGTCAGTTCAACCATAACAGCCCTCTGCTGGAGAAGGAAGGCTCTCTGCTCGGTGAAAATCTGCAGTCTGGATCGAAATGCTCTATAGGATCACTTTGAATTGAAATCGACTCAATGGCAGTGGGTTATGGGGTTAATGGAAGGATATCATAAAAAACACACTTTTGAGAGCCAAATTACGAAGGTGCATTCCCTGCGCCCACTCCTCCACCCACACTGGAAAGACTTCAGTTCCATACTATGTGGAGGATTAAACAGCCCCAAGGAGGAGTGCCGCCATGCTAAGAATCCAGACCTGCAGCATTTTCCCAGTGGTTTGCAAGTGGGTTCTAGTAGGTCTAGAAGGGTCTGAACACAACTGCAATCAGTCTGACGAGCCCTGATTTTCAGCATCCTACTTGTTTCGATAGTCTCCAACTCGCAGACTTCTGGGGAATAACCCTGCAGAGTTCCTGGTGGCCTGCAGGGACTTTCTCTGGTCTATCATAGTCTGGGGGTGGGGGCCGGGGGTGGGGGAATTGTTGGGACAGGATATGGATGTCTGACTTCTGTGTGTGGCGATCTGAAAAAAAAAGTCTTTTATGAGAAAATGTAATGTCAGCTGATCAGAAAATGTTTTGCTTTGCAAAAGAGAGCCCAAGAAGGAAAGACAAATTTATGGAGAGTATTAACATGTAAATACGGTGATAAAGTCCATTTATTTTTCAAAGACCGGGGGTAGTCTGTGCAAGTCCAAATGCTATTTGTAATTTTTCCTGCTCTGTGGATGAGGACCTGGGATGTGCCCCTCCAGGTTCAGGGATGGACTTGATGCACAGAGATGGAAGTTAACTCAAGCGCCTGTTCTCAGCCTGTATCTCTCACTGCCTGTGTCATACTGTGATGTTTGAAACCAAATCCAGCAATATAGCAGCATATTAGAATGTTCTGAGGTCAGATTGTATCAATCTTCAGAGGAAACGAGAAAGGCTGCCCAGAGTCCAAACATGGGGAAGCAAATACATCATCTACAAAAAGCATGTTTTCTCCATTCTCCCTCAACTCTACCTCACACAACTCTTGTTTTGTGTGGCAGTAGTCTATGAGGAAATGAACAAAAAATTTTAAGAAAAGAAAATCCATTTAGAATGGATAGATTTAACAAAACAACAACAACAACAACAACAAAACCTCAAGTTGTCTGTCCTTTTATGGATTGGTAGCTATCAGAAGTTATTACCCCCCAAATTATTAAAATAAATGTATATATAAATAATGAAAACTGAGCACAGATCTAAAAGTTCTTAATAGTAGGCCACTGGTAATTCTCTACAGGCTGCCTCAGTTAACCCATATAATTATTTGTCCATAAGCAAAAACCAAAAAGCCCTCATGCCCATTGTGTCAATTCCAATTTAGTGTAGCCCCATAGGACAGTGTAGAATTGTCTCTGAGTTTCCAAGACTTTCCATTTATTTATTTAAAAACTTTTTTTTTCATTTTTAAGGGAGCAGACAGCCTCATCTTTCTTTCCAATCTCTGACCACTACCCCACCAGGAGGGCACCTCTATATGTTGTATGCTTATGCATCCTGTCATAAATAATTAACCCAGCTATATATTAGACAATTCAAATCAGTGCCACACAATCAATAATTTTACCTTAAATGGCTCCATTGAATGAGTGTTTCTCAGAGAACTTTTCAGTTTCCCATATTTTCTCTTAAGAAAGAATTCTAGAGATGAAAAACCCACTCACATTCTGCTTGCAGTGACTTTGAGGATTGTACTGGAATCAACGGAAGCCTCTAGGATTTTAACCAAATAATTTTGTACTAAGATATACATACATAGATATACATATATGCATTCATATAGGGGAAGGGGGGAGAGGGGGAGAGAGGCAGAGAGGGAGAAAGAGAGGGAGAGGAAGAGGAGGAAAGACTGGTGCTCTTTAGAAAGTGGAAGACTCAGGGTGCTCGGCTTCAATCAATTTAGGCATTAAAAAGTCTTGGTAATCCAAACATATCAGACGCTAAATTCTAGTCCTCCATTTCCGAATGTGGTATCTTGGACTAGCCTTTTTAGCTCCTTAATTTCCTAATCTCAGATTAGCACTCTAATCTTGAGATTAGCAATAGGCTAGTTGTGAAGACGAAATGACTAAATTTGGTGAATGACCTGAAATTACCTCACACAGTAAGCTCTAAAAAAGTTAAAATCGATCGTTATGCTTTGTGTTTTCTTTTCAACTAGATCAACGTCGGGGTTACAGGCAGACGGCCTTTTATGAACCAGTTGTTGCCGGGCACCTGCTCGCTCACACCAACTCTCACCGACCTTTATTGACTGCAGTATAGGAACGCCCAGCGGAGTTTTTGTTTAGGTTATTGCTACTCCAGCAGACCCCTTTCCAGGCCATCTTTCTATCTGAAACTCAGACAGGGATTCGCACGGTTCGTACGTAGCGCTTAGGACGCACAGGACGAAGAATGATGCTCCCCTTTTCTATCTGTCCGCACTAAATAATGGCTTGCTTCGCTGGGTGGTGCAGGAGGAGGTTAAGAATGCAGGGCAGGTGGGCGCGCGGGCGTTTCCCTCCGTGAGTAGAACTTTCGAGAGCGGAGAATCCAGCAAGACGTCTTCTGCAATTGTGCGAGGCTCTGCTCTGAAACGCTTTCCCGTCCAGAGGCAGAGGGAACCGGGCGAGCAGGGGCCGCGCGACACCGGTTTGCGGTCCCGAGGGTAACGGGGGCGCGGTGATGGGGTTCTAGAGCAGATAGGCGCTGATTGGCTGCGGTCACTACCCCGAGCGCTGCCATTGGCTCCTTTCTTGGGGCCCGCGTGCCTACTGGCCGGCCGCTGGCGCGAGGTCTGTGTGAGCGCGGCCTGCGGGAGCGCAGAGATGCGGGGCCGCGGGCGACCGCACTGGGGTCGGTGTGCGGCCCGCTACCGGTCTGTGAGACCCTCTGGCGCTCATGGCTTCGCGCCATGTGGCGACAGCAGCTTCCTTTCGCAGCCAGGCTTGCTGTCCTGGTTCACGGCCGTCGCTGGGCCTCGGGACAGCCCCGGGAGCCCTGGGAGCGGGAGCGAGGCGCCGGAACTCGGAGCGGCCTGCCGGAGACCGAGGGCAGAAGGCGGGCGAGGGCGGTCCAGGCGCCCACTAGTCCCCGCTGAAGTGCCCCTGTGTGTCAGGGAGCTTGGGTACCAGCCCGGCGCACCCTGCCATCTGCTGCTTCCCCAAAGGGAAGAGAGCTGAGGCGCGGACGCTAGCTACCCGGAGGTCAGACGTGACCCTTGGGCCACAGGTGGGAGCTGTGAAGGGGAGGACGCAACAGACGGCAGGGGGCCAAGTTGTTTAGTTCCAGAAGGGGCCTGGCGCTCTCTCTGAGCTGGGTGACCTTCCCACAAAAGATGAAAGGAGAGCTGCTGTCATCTGCGACTGTCTGTCGTTTAATTCAGATGAGTTGTGCCGGAGTTCCACTGGCAACTTGCTAATGCCTCCTGAACACCGGCCCCCCCCCCGTCCCCCCTCCCCGATTAAAAGAAGGATGGGCTGAATACGTTTGCATGTAGCTCCTCTTTGAAGACACCGCTCTTATGTCACGTACAATATTTTTAGATTTA